GAAGTCGAGCACTTTACGGTAGCACAGTTTAACGAGGACCAATACCGCACACCCTCGGTCCCTACGCAGGCTGATCCAAGTGGTCACCCACCCGCACACTGACCGCAGCCAGTGATGCTTGACTTCGGTGATCTGATGAGAACCGTGTCTTAACGATCAGTCCACTGCGGGACTTTTTTTTTTTTTTCTTTTTCTAAAAGGAATTTATTGGATTATTAGTTGAAGGAGAATGGTGGTTTCTCTTACCGGTGATCGGGTGATTGATGAGTTTTTGCTAGACAATTTTTAAAATTTTTTTTACTGATCATATTCGCCTTCTCTGTCGACGAAGATCAGTGCGTGAGTCGCATGCAGTGAAAATGGCGTTGCGGTAGTTATTTGTGCTTTGCTGACGAATCAGCTGTCCTTAGCGTTCATAGCTGGAATCCGATTGAAAAAAATCCTTCTCAATGAATATGGTTTCTGTTGTCGAGAGCAAAAGAGTACCTGATTTTTTTTTCACCCTTTTTTTATGCAGGAAAATGTATTTGCCAATCAGGTTCTCATATTTCCTCGATCGCGTTTAGAGACGCGTAAACTGTATTAAGTAAGAATGACCCTTAAGTCTGAATAATGCTATTTGCTAAATATGATCTATTGAAATGAAGTGATTTCAATGTAGCAGAAGTCATTTAGTTTCGGATCCACTCATCTTGAAGTGAAGCTAAATTGTTTACCTTTAAGGAGAGTTTTTATTATCGGGATTAAACTTTAAAAATTCTATTTTCTCACATTTTTAGCAAAAATTTTTACTTTTTGTGTGACAATATATGAAATTTCATATTGACTGGTCCGCTATGTGATGTAAACATTTCTGGTTAACCTATAAGAACACACCGGCCATATCCATGTTTTCCTAAATTGTTTAATTTACGTATGTTTTCTCTTTCTTATTCTCGCTACTTATTCCTCATTCTTAATCAACATATTTTTACAGTGGGTAAAGTCTGCTATAATACCTTTATAATTTATTTTGACGACATGTGAAACTATTTGTGTTTATATTAGTCCCCCATTATTTAGTTCAGTGTTTCCCAAACTTATGACTTTTGTGTACCCACTCTAAATTTTTCGTAACGCTGTGTACCAATATTAAAAAATGAATGTATTTTTTGCTTTAAAAATTGTACCGAAGTTAAAAATCACAACTAGCTGTTGACACCACTAATTATTAACTGTTAACTCTGCAAAAAACAGCCAATAGAAAACTACGTAATCTTAAATTTTCATGGCTAGCTTTATTTTTTAATTTTCGTTTGTTGCATGATATTTCATATAAGTACGCGTATCCCTGCTAAACTGTTCCCGTACCCCTAGGGGTACGTGTGCCACACTTTGGGAAATACTGATTTAGTTTTGTAAAATTTTTTATGGCTCATGGGAATATTAAGAAAGTTTTTTGCTATTATTTTGGTTTATTTCTTCTGCCCTGCTTCTTTTAAAATTAGCTTACTATAATTTTCATTTCTTTTTTATTGCTGTTAAAAATTATTTATTCGATAAAATACATAGTCATTTTCTTCTATCTTTTAAACTGGGAGTATTTTCGTATTGTTATCTGTTCAGGTCCACTATCTTCGCAAAGGCGTCAAAAGATTTTTGAACTCTCAAAAGTTTTTAAAAGAGAATTATGGTTTGCCTGGAAGTGGATAGAAATTATATCTTTAGAGTTAGTCCCCTTCTGTGATGTTTTATAAGGAAAAGATTTAACTGTACTGTGATCTGTGCCAGAATAAATAAAGTTTTAAAATGTGTGGAATACTTGCCTCTAGATGACTATTAGTTATATTCTTCAAATTTGTTCTTCTATGATAGTTTTTTAAATTTCTCATTTGTCACTACCGGTTGTTGCCGAAAACTGATCATTTTTTTTTGTTGCATAGATGCTGTCATACCGAAATATGCATAACATACTTCAAACATTTTAAAACAAAATTATTTTCTTATTTAATCCTTTTTCAATGAATAAAATTCATTAATATAATCTCCAATCTTTTTATACCACAATCTTGAATTGAGTGCAGAAGAAAAACAAGGTACTTAGCGATTTTAAAAATTGCTTAATTTTTCCCTTTGAAAATGAGACTTTTACTTTACCACGTCAATCTTCGTAAAAGCGTGGTTTTCACATTGTTCTATTAAACGCTTTCGCAATTCATTCAAACACAGTGTGTTTTGGCTTACCGTCAGTCCATAGAGTATACAAGCGACAATCGTTTTACATTTTTGATGAAATGCTTGCGGGTCCGCATGTGCGTATAGTGAGGTGGGTTCGGGGAGATTGTTTCACTCTCGTGTGCAACTCTGCTGCATTTTGCAAGATGTTCTCCATTTCAGGCTTCATTAGCAGGGAATTTTGGTTGTTTTTCACAAAGTTACGAGTAAAACTTTATAATTCTTATACTAGAAATAATAATTTCTTATTGAAAACTTCATTGTTGTGCAGCAAACTTAGGGACAGGAACTCACTTTTTTGATAGTCAACGAAAAACTAATCTTTTTTTTTTTTTTTTTTAAACTGGGCTTTTCCCACTTCTAGGTAAGATTTTGAACTATTTGATATAAATGTTTTTTTTTTCTCAAAATTTATTACATTACATTGCAAATAATATATATTTTTTCTCTAATCATAATTTGATTCAAAATAGGTCAGTTACTTAGTGAATGTTTTGCATTTTTATTCAATTTATGTAAGATCTTCATTTATTATAGTGATTGGAATTATTTTTAATAGATTCTAAGAGAACGCTATGATGGGGTGCCTGTGTGCTAAAGCAAGCACTTTAAAGATTAAATCATCTGACGTTAAAAAAGAAGGAAAAGCATACTCTTGGTAAAACATTTATTTTATTTTAAAGGGAAATGGGTTTAGCTAAAATATTATTGTTAAAAGAAGTTTTCATAAACTGTTCCATTTACAGCAAACGGCATTGTACACTTTCTTTTAGTAAAATTTCAAGTTTATTGTATCTGGTCTAGTTGCCCACCATTTTTCAAGTTTTTGTTCACTTGTTGATTTATTGTTTGAGCTGCGTTTCATTCAAATGGCAATTGTTCTTTTCTCTAACATTGAAATTTTCAAATATGTCATGACGAAAATGACAAATCGAAATATCAAGAATATTAATTCAATTTAAAAAATAAATATTTTGGGGAATATAAAAGAACATGAGCTATGGAACGAAAAAGACCAATAAAAATTCCAGGTATTACCTATGTTCCGATTTTGATTTTTCAATGAATTTAATTGTTTCATTCAAATTTTTTTCACTTCATTTTTTCGAAATTTTAAAAACCTTTTTCAGTGTATCAACTGAATCCTTAACTTTGTGTTTTGTTAACAATTTTTTTATTTTTTAAATTCGTGTTTATTAAAATTTGTGCTATGATTGCTCAGGGGTTAAGACACCGAGCTATCATTGTGAATGACTGAGGTTTGATCCCCGGCTGGGGCTTGAAGCCCACACAGCTGCAGATGGATTGGTACCAGCTAGTCTGGTAAATATAGTGGTCGGAGCACAATGCTGCCATGTCATTGGTCTAGAAATTATGAAACCTTAACTTCCATGGCCCGCAATAGGCTGTTTTGAGAATTTTTTTTTTATCTTTGCATACGAACAAATATTCTCATTTTACTAATTGTTGATGCTGAAAATTAAGTGATCCATGAGCCCTTGGCAGAATTTTTTCGAATTTTCCGTGACAAACCTCTCTAGCACTAATATCTTTCTGCAAGATACTTTTAATAATGACAAATATTCATGTTACTAACTTAAAGTAACAAAAGCATTGTGTTTATGAACAAAAAACCTATTTTGTTCCAATAAATTGTATTTAATTTTTTTTTTATGGAATATGCAATTTGTTTCATTCTAATAGTATGGGCAATTTTCTTCGTAGGAGAGAAAGTACTAATTTCTTTTTTCACATTTTGTTAATAATTATCACATTAAAAAAAAAGTAAATAAAAATCGAGAAATCCGTTGCAGTAACTAACAAAAAAAAAAGATCGACTTCAAAATCACACAAATCAGACTCTTTATTAATGAATTACTCAAATGCGTGTTTCGTTTTGATATTCGGTTTTTCTAATAAACATCATATTAAGAATATCGGATTTTAAAAACCATGCGAAAATCAATGACTGTTAAAATACAATCGTAACAGTAGGAAACAAAATTTTTTACCCCCTTCCAATCTTTCTGCAAGAAATGTGTAACTTTCTGCGTTAATTTCGCCGAGATTCTGCCACGGGACTTATGAAGTGAAAATTCATGCTAAAAAAGTATTAAATTCATAATTATCTGAGTTTATTTCATTTAGGGATGAGAAGAAAACAGTTAATCCAAAAGATTTCATAATAGAGAATGCAAAAGATGAAACAGTCGTTAGACTACCTGGATCAGTTAAAGGACAACAGTTTATTATTCAAAATTGTGATGTAAGTTCTCTTTTCATTTGTTTAGTTTGAAACATGATTTTTCATGGTCTCTTTTGCCTTAATGTGTAATATTGCTTAGATGAGTTCACATATCTCTAAAATATTATAACTTAGAAATGATTGATTATCTTCCTTGTTAGAAAGATACCGGATATAGTGAGTGCTTATAGTGAGTTTGATCATATCAAACTCAATATACTTAATTAATTATAAATAAATTGAATGTGTAGGAATTAAATTTAATTATGAATGATTTGAATATTTATAACTTATTAATAAATATATGAATTTATTACAATTATGGGGAGGGTTGGTCATGTCTGCCTTACAGTTAATCGTAGTAATATGTTTATTGTTCTAATTTTATAATACAGGGTAATTCAAAATGAATATGGTGGTTACAAACAGCTATAACTATTTAATAAAAATAATATATTGATAAGATTAACATAGAATGTAGATAGAACTTCAAAATTTCTTTACGTAAGGTGTATTAAAGCGGAATCCAGCGTATGTGCAAGTACCTTGCAGAGTGCATTCTGCACGTTGGGATTTAACAATTGTCATTCTTTTAACACAGTGCAGAGAAGATTTCATCAGCGATGCAATCAATTTCAATCAAAAGAATCAAATTGTTACAATCAAAACAATTGAAATTAAGGAATGCATTTGTAATGTGTTTGCATTGGTGACTGCTCAAATGCTTCAGAATGTATGGCGTGAAATGGACTACCGTCTAGATGGTGTCCATGTGACTGAGGGAGGTCACATAGAAAATCTGTGATGCATGTATACAAAATTTTGAAGTTTCTTCTGTGTAAATTCTATCAATAAATTCTTTTTCATTAAATAGTTATAGCCTTTTGTAATCCCTATATTTATTTCGAATTACCCAGTGTACTCAGGAGCCTGTCCAGGGCTAATTTACTACCGTTTTCCTCTTGGCATTCTCAATATGTGTCCCATCTATTTCTACCATCTTTTATTTATTTTATCATCCATTGTAGCTAGATATAAAAGTGCCACAGAAAAAAAAATTCATTTCATCTATTCAGATCAGTGTTAAGAAAAAAAAGAAATTTTCCTTTTTAAATAGTAATCTCATGCACGTAAAGAATCATATTTTTACCTGCAGTCTTTTCACATACCAAAACCAATTTTTCCATTTCATTATCTGGAGAAATAGTGTATTGGGGAGAAACATTCCCCCGATTTTGCCCATCTGCTATATCGCCATTGGGTTAAGTAAATGCCTATCATTTGTAACATGAGTGGTATTGGTTTAAAAACTTCATCAAACCATACAGTAGGAAAAGAATTTGATAAATCTTGAACTTTACTAATAGGCTTATGTTTATTATGTATGTTACGAAATACACTTTTAGTTTGTTTAGGTAATAGATTTAGGCCCATGCAGGGAAAAATAAAGTTATTATCAAAGCTACATAATAACAGAAGTTATTTAAAATTCAACCTCACTACTATAAAAAATAATAGTTTTGGTTTAAATTGTTCTTAGAATTTAAGATGAATAATATGATATTTATGATCCCTATTCTTATAGCTTTATTAATTTTCTTCTCAATTTTTCAGAACAGCAATATTTATATATATGACCACATAAATACTATTACAGTGGATGATTGTAATGGTTGTAACATTTTTATTGGACCAACAAAAGGAAGGTAATTAGCAACTTCAGTATTCTTCAGTATTTTAAATAATATACATTGCAATAACTAATATTATTGGTTTCAGACAAATTTCACTTACTCGAACCATGTGTTGCAGAATGATTTAGTGGCCAGTGGGTGCATTTGCATTGAATAAAGAAACAATGTTTGATTATAGAAAAATTTAATAATAGTAAAGCAATTTGATGGTTTACAATAATTTTAGTACTTCCCAATAAGCAATCCGATCCATTGCTTGCCGCTCAAGTAATTACGGAATTATTGTGAGTGATTACAGCGCCCTCTATTGGTCAGGCAGAAAATTGTAGCACTCCCCACCTGAAAACTCTTTTGAATTCACTTACCATAAATTTACGTAAAAAAATTATTTCAAGAACAACATTAATTGAAATACAAAATAAAAAAATTTATCTTTAGCAGTAATTTAAAATATGAATGTTCAATAATTAAGATAACAATAAAAAGCAATCAATTATAACATATGCATATTATCAAATATGTGTATATGTATATTTTACACTTTAAAAAGAATATTTTGTTTAAGGGTAAATTACTTACAAGTTGAAGTGAACGCCTTATATATCTCCTTTAAGAGTTTTTAACAAAAGAGGACGAATGTTCCCTTCATAATAGCAGCTTCATATTTAGAGACCATTTCTGGAAAGGGTCCCAAATTTTTCATCCACATTAATTTGCATACGTAACATTCTCCATTAAACTACAAAGAATTCTTAAAATTTTCTATCAAATGATTATCTAATTTTAAAAATATATGTTTTGGAAAGTGAGCACTATTTTGCCCTCAGTTAGAGGTATATTATGAAAGTAATTATGTTTTCACTTTTCAAACTTCAAAGATTTAATTTTTTAAAAAATATGCATTTTTCTAATTAAGTTATGATAAAAATCTAACTCAATTTCTAAAATTTTACCTTTAATCAAAAAAAAAAAAGAAAAGAAAAAAAAACTATCATAATATATGTATATAAAATTTTAAAACTCTATTTAATATTTCTAAATTAAGATAACAGAACTGAAAGTATATTGCACAGAAGCTCAAAATATTGATTTTGAGAAAAATAAATTTAAAGTTTGTAGACTGAATAGATTCAGTGAATATGTGCTTTAGGAAAAGATTCATTTTGAATATCAAAAAAATTTTGTTGTCCAATAATCAGAATAAATTAAATAACATTGAACTGAAACATTCATGAGACCATTAAGCACTACTGCATTTTTTATTTTCTTTAAAATCATTTTATTAATGCCAGACGACGTAAAACATATAAAGATTAACTCCGCATGTTTTTATTAAAAAAAAACTTATGTTATTAGGAACATTAATTTATGATTTTTTACCACTCTAGCGTTTTCTTGAGGGATTGTTCTGAGTGTCGATTTTTAATTGTCTGCCAGCAATTTAGAGCTAGGGACTGTAAAGTTGTGGATGTTTTCTTGTGCTGTGCTACTCAACCTATTATTGAGTCTTGTAGTGATATACGATTTGGTTGCTTTTGTTTCAACTATGCTCATCTGGAAGGTGAGTAAACATTTAAATTATGTTGTAGTGAAAGTTGGCAAATTTTTTTCATGTTTCAGTTTTTGGTGTTTTTAACTGTGAATAAAAGCATTATGTCAAAAAAAAAGCAAAGGAAAAAAAATGGTGCGTAGCATTTTTGAAAAGTGCTTAAAGGTGCTTATTTTTGTTTTTTAAAAGCCCTTAAAGGTGCTTTTTTCATTGAATGTTTTTAAAAAGTGCTTAATTTTCCCGTTTTGAAAATGATATTTTTTCTTTACCTTGTCGATTTTTGCCACATATTATGCAAAAGCTTGCTTTTCTCATTGTTCTATTCAACTTTTTCACAATTCATTCAACCACAATCTATTTCAGCGTACCGTTGGCCCATAGCGTATGAAAGCGCCAATCATTTTACATGTTTGATGAAATACTTGGGAGTCTGCTTGTGCGTCTCCTGAGCTGGGTTTGGAGAGATTATTGTACTCTCATGTGCAACTTGCAAGCGGCATTTTCCTCCTTCTGATATCAAAATGAAAAATCTCTCGAGCATTTTAAATGGCTAATATATTCAAGAAAAGAGTTCTTTATCAGAAACTACTTATTTTATCATGATCATCTGAAGTCTTTGAAAATAATTTTCCATTTTGTTAATGTATATAGTGCTTAAAAATATTTTTTTGTGCTTCAAAAGTACTTAAAGGGTGCTTATTTTTTGGTGAAAGATTTGGCTACGCACCCTGAAAAGATGTTATTATGTATTTTATAAATATTAAATTTTTAAATCGTGAATTGTGTGCAATAAAATATGAATCTTGTGCAGTCTAATAAATATTTAAAAAATATTTTGAAAAAAATATCCCCATAGGTCACTCCTATCATATCATTATTCTTCAGACCATAGACATTGTTATTCAAATCTCCAATAAGTTTCCATGATAATAAGCTATTTCAATTATACTCATTATTATTATGCTCATCTGGAAGGTGAGTAAACATTTAAATTATGTTGTAATGCAAGTTGGCAAGTATTTGACATGTTTCAGTTTTTGGCATTTTAAACTGGGAATAATTATGTCAAAAGCTCTGTGTCAAAAACCAAAGAAAAATGTAATTATGTATTTTTATAAATATTAGTATTCAAATTTTAAAATGAAAATTGCATACAATTAAATATAAATCTTGTAGAATTTAATAAATATTTAAAATATATTTTGAAAAAATGTCCCCCCTGGTCACTTTTATCTTATTATTATTCTTCAGACAATAAACATTGTTATTCAGACCTCCAATAAGTTTCCAGGATAATAACAGGGTTGCCACTTCACGGGGAGAACAGGGAAAACCCGGAAAATACAGGGAATTTAAAAATTACCTAAAATAACAGGGAAAATGCTAGGAATTTCGAGTTTTTCTTTAGAAATTGGGAAAATACAGGGAATTTTGTTTCTTATTTTCATCTTTTAAAAAGTGGTGACTACTCAAAGGGCAATCTATGGGATATTTAAGGATGATATTTCAGCCATATTAAACTTTTTTGTTCACTATAGTATTATTTCTTTTAAGTACGTACAGCTTCTCCTTTTAACAGCAATTATAACTAGTATAGTTATCCCAACACAGCTCATACAAGAGCACATTGTGTATTTCCTCTTAATATATTGTGTACAATATGTACAGAAAAAATACTGGGATTTTTTCTTCCAAATTTGAGTGGTAACCCTAAATAGGTTATTTCAATTATTAGAGTAGTATAGTCGCACCACGATCCATTGTTTCTTCGTCTTTTGTGATTCTGTATGCATTGTACAATCCTGCCGCAAATGCTATTTTTATGTTAATAAAACTCTTTAGATCAATATTAAAATTAGTTATGCTGGCATCTATCGTTCAAAAATTCTACTGAAAAAATAAATGAAATGAAGTTATTTCATTTTGAGATGAAAAACAGTAACACCTGATACTAATGGTGAAAAAAATGTGGGTTTGTTACAATTTGGGGGAAATGAGCCAGTTATCCCATTAGATGTTTATCGATCAATTAATGAGAATGTTAAATCTTGTGGTGTTGTCAGTTCAACAAGTGATAACACGGGCCGAAGAAGTGCGAAGTGATACCGAGGAAGACAGCGAAACAGTGTATTCACACAACATTGCAGACAATAGGTAGCAATCTGTCACAAATGTCAAAATTTTTTTATCTAAGAATTATTAGAATTAATATTATTAGAATAAATGATTAGAATAAATTATTAGAAAAGAGGGTTCAAACCAAAATTCAAACTATTTTAAATAAATAAATGTTTATTCTTCATAGTGTGTAGCGTTTTTAAAAAGTGCTTAAAGGTGCTTATTTTTAATTTTGATTTTCTAAAAGCCCTTAAAGGTGCTTTCTTTATTGAGTGTTTTTAAAAAGTGCTTAATTTTCCCTTTTCAAAAATTAGATTTTTTTTTGTTACCATGGCGATTTTCCACACATATTATGAAAAAGCATGGTTTTCACATTGTTCTATTCAACGTTTTCACAATTCATTCAAACAATGCATGCGTCGGTCTGTAGCTTATTAAAGCGCCTCTCATTTTACATGTTTGATGAAATACTTGCGGGTCCGCATGTGCATATACTGAGCTGGGTTCAGTGAGATTCTTGCATTCTTATGTGCAACTCAGCTGCATTTTGCTAGATATTCTCAATTTCAGGTTTTATTTTCCACCCTCTGTAATCAACCCGAAAAATCTCTCGATCTTTTTATGGTGTCTAATATAATCATGAAAAGAGTTCTTTGTCAAAAGCTAGTTATTTTATCATGATCATGTAAAGTCTTTGAAAATTATTTTGCTTTTTATTAATGTATATAGTGCCTAAAAATATTTTTAGTACTTGACAAATACTTAAAAGGTGCTTATTTTTTGTTGAGAGATTTGGCTATGCCCCCTGTTCTTCTTTCTTTCCATGGTAAATATTTTTGTAGTGAATTTTTTGATTTTAATAATTTTTTTTCATTTAAATTTTTTATACTTATTGTAAATGTATTGAATCCATTAGTTAGTTATTACATTTAATTCATTTTGAAGATATTAATTAGCATTTTTGACCCGCATCCATCGTCAGCAATGAATGGTCCCGCGAGAAACAATCAATTAAAGTTCTAATGTATTATCAACTTGTGGAGAAAAAGAACTCATTACTTTATATATAGAATATATTTCCTCTTTAAAAAAAACTCTAAGACATGTTTCTTAACGTTTTTTTAACATAATGATGCAATTTATTAATTACAGTTATTAAAAACAATTATTACACTTTATTATAAAGTAAGATTCTGCAGAGCCTTATGCATGCTTAGGGCTCTTAAGAGTTTTTCCAAGTGTAAAAAAGGCAATGATTAAAATTTTGCAACTGTAATTATTGTATTTGTTTTGAAAATTTAAAAATCAAGGAATTAATAATTTAAATAATTACTAAATTAATTAAATGTCAATTAAATAAGGGAAGCATATTCAATATACTTAAGGGATTTATTGAGGATTGCACCTCAGGATATTTTAAAATTGATGATTGACCTTTTTTAGAATAGTTTAAAATTGAAATATTGTGCTGCTCCTTGAACCTTTTATGTATATTTATTTCACAGAACAGTTCAAGAATGCTTGCCTCAGCATCTTCAACAACAATTGGAGCAATATACATGATTTCACTCCTGCTGAAGGGGAAAGGAACTGGACGCTCCTTCCAAAGGTTTTTCTCTTTCATTAAGATTAGACGTACAGTTGAACCTCACTAACGGGATACCGCTGAACCTGAAATATCGTTTTACATTAAACACGTGTTTGGGCCTCGTGAGTCAGCAATAAATTATTGTTGTATTTTGCATGAAATTTTCAAGCTGATTATTGCTTAACATGAAAGGAAACTGGATACAGCACAGATAAAAAATTGTTCGGTATGGTAGTATAGTATGTTATAATACTCCTGGATCAAGTATTTGGAGAAATTTGCCTTCGGAGAGGACTTTTTGATAGAACTATCCCGCATTTGCGTTACATGGCAAATAAGACTGCGAGAACCTCCCACGGTTAGCCTCACGACAAGGGGACTCTAACCCATGATCCATCTACCACTAAGGATTTTTCAAGTCAGCACTATGGTCAGTGCAAGCCGGATGTGGAATTCGTATCAACCAGCCATCGCTGGGATTCGAACCCAGTTCATCTCATTGGAAGGTGAATGCTCTATCACCTTAGTCATCGCGGCTCTGACCGAGTTCTTTTAATTTTATTTCATCATTTTATATCCCTTGTTGAACAACTACTAATGTTCAACTTGTCGCCTTATAATTTTGAACCCAATCCAGAAAACAGGGAAACTCCTGGATCAGTACTCCCAGAGGTATGATTTGTTATTGTAACATGGAGGACTATGTAACTCGAAAAATTTAGCATGCATCAGTCACCTTTTACTGCACGAGGAGTCTTTGGCCGGCGAAGATCGAACCCACAACCTCTTGGGCATGGGCCCAGTACCCTATCAACCATGCTATCCCGGCCCCTGACCGAGTTGTTGTAATGAATAATGAGTAAAATCCCAATCAATCGTTTTTAGGAATGCTTTTTCTATTTGCTTCCTTTGTTAGAAGTGTCAGAATAGTTAAAATAAAATATTTTAGTAAAGTAGTTATAACTTTTAAGCCTATTTTAATTTGCTTGGTTCATAATAGAATTGTTTGCTTACATTAATGTAGTACAGTAGGGAACCGATTATCCAGAACGATCGGGACCATCGCCATTCCGAATAACTGATTTTTCCGGTTTTCTGAATCGCTACAAGAAGCCATTTTTTTTTATTGTTAAACCCAACTAAAAAAAAAAATCTTTGGAAATAATCTTAAAGAGAAGAAAAAATGATGAAGTAATACACTAATGATTATTTCCAAAATGATGGTAAGGTAAACATCTTTCAAAAAAGAACGAAAAATCCTGAAATCTTATGAGGAAAAACAAATTTTTAAAAAAAAAATGGCGGAAAAATTTATCGAATTTTGTTCCGGTTTTTTGGTTTTCCGGTTTTCTGATTTCCGGATAACGGGTTCTGTACTGCACATAACATGCATTAATAGTGCAAAATAAGTTTTCATGATGCATCGGATAAAACAAAGTTCGGGTAACACGAAATAATTATGACAGTCCTGCTGATTTCGCTTTAACGAGGTTCGACTGTGCAGACCACTAAAAATGCATTTGATACATTCTATATAAAAAATATACTTATGTATGTTCACTTTTTCATTAATCTTTGTAAATATTGAAACTTTTACAATGATACCAACTGCTTGGCTTTCTGAAATTGTTTTTATAAAGTGAGGGATCATTAAGGAAAAAAGCTGCAAATATTTATCCATATTTACAAAGGTTCACCACGAGATAGTAGGGCAAAGTAGCATTTATACGAACTTTTGAATTACTTATATGTAGTGGCAGGCAATTCTGAAACAAAAATCATATATTAATACATGAAGTTTACTACCACTAGGAAAATATTTTCTACAAAGAGCATCCCGGCATTTATGCCTAACATGGCATTAAGCAATACATTGTAATGTGCTTGTTCTAAATTACTTGAAGACATATACCTGGTCTGTACTTTTATTTTGTAACTGTCGTCGAACAGCCGACCCAGCTTTGAGTTTACGACTACTAATGTTCAACTCCGTAGCCCTGTAATTTTGAACCAGTCCAGAAGACAAGGGACTCCTGGAACAGTACCCCCAGAGGTATGATTTGTTATGGGGACATGGAGGACTTTGTGACTCGGCAGATTTAATGAGACATTTTTTGCTAATGAGGTTTTAATTAGTTTCAAATTCACGACTTTCGAATAGTAATTTAATTTGGATAAAAAAATTTGGTTAAAAAGTAATAATGTGTATAATTATTTTAAAGTCATTTTTTTGTAATTTTTTTTTAAAAGTATATTTCTGTTTTTTTATGTCCTTATATTTTTCTTAGAATAATATAAAAATTAGATGAATTGTTAAGAACAGAGGGGAAGAACAAGCTTTTAATCAGAATATCTATTCTAAATTTATGTGTAAGGTGCAAAAAAAGAATATTTAACAGTGTCTTGTCCTTTGATCTCTAATCCTTTTTTTTTTTCTAAATTTAACTCTGAGGTTTTTTCTACGACAGAAAACTAGTTTATCCCTTCTTATTCAATGTGAAAATAGTGCGCAAGAAGGAGCAATGTACTTTATTTTCCATTTTGGAGTGTGTACTCTTCAATGCTTGTTGAATTAAACAGAAACTGAACTAGATGGAGCTGAATTAAAAATTGAATGTTTCAATTGTGTGAATGCCAACATTAAGTTAGTATTTCTTCATACAAATGCCTTATTTGAATAACTCCACTTATTAAAAAAATGGTGCAAACATCTCTTTCATATTCATACTAGGTGTTTCAATTCTAATTTGTAATCTTTTACTCTAGTATGCACAAGAGAAAGGGTCATTCACAGATTGTGTAAGCACCTAGGGAAAAAGGGGTTTGTGATTTGCCTAATTTTTGCTTGCAAAGACATGTCAATGCTTAAGTAAGATCTGAAAATCTCCTTGTTTTTAAAACTTTCTAAAAAAAAACAGAGAGACAAACGTAACAAAGAATGATAGAATGTAAAAATTCCATATTTATATAAAAAGTTGAATCATGAGAGAAAAAAGTAAAGAAAGAAATTCTTTGAAGAATTTCAGAGAGTAGGATTTTTAATCACAGAAAGAGAACACAAAAGATTTGTAAAGAATATACTGCTTAAAATTTTAAAAGGTGAATTAAAACATGAATTTTGTTTTATACAAAGTTCCATTTTTTATTTGAATTTAATCCTAATATTAGAAGTCAGAAAATTAAAGCAAAAACCAGGGATGGGTGCAATTTTCTTACTTAAGCTTTGAAGGGGTTAATGGGGGTCTTTTTTAAAAAAAAAGGAGGAGAGAGAGTTCAGAATTGACAAAACATGCGTATGCAATATTTGAATGGCCCCCAACTCAAATCGAATAATATAAGGAAAATAATGCACTCTTTGTATTTCAAAATCAGCAAAAGTTGAATTATTTAAGCAAGGAAATGTTAATAATTTTTCAGGATGCTCGTATTGAGGATTTTTTCCCATTGCCCTCCCCTGAAAAGTTAGGAGACTTACAAGTGATGACTGACCCACAAAGTAGTTTGGTTCCCCAGACTCAGGGTTGTTTACAGAGGTTATCCATGCAGGTAATGTATCTTATCATTTTTGAACTAAAACTTTTTAAAATACCCAGTTGAGAAATCTAATGCTACACAAAATTTCTCATTAATTTGCTTAAATCTGTTCTTTTATGAATCGCAATTCTAATTATCTTTATTGTTGTCTGGTCCATGGATGAAGGTTGTACACTAGATGCCATTAAAGGTACAGTTAACTGCAGCTGCCAGCTCTGGCACTTTGGAGCTATAATCTCCTGAAGTAGCAGCATACTGAGCCTTAAAACATTTGTAGTAAAAATTGGGCATTTAAAGATATGTGTAGTGTATCTATCACTACAAAAATACAATTCCAATTCACTAGTATCTAAGACATGTTAACTCAATTCTTTTGGGGTACCTTGTCATAGATGAAGGTTGACAATGTTGATTACTACCATTTGTGACCCGGACGTGATGTGAACACGCCTACCTTGACAGAAACTTCCACTTTGATTTGAATACGCTTTCTTTGATGGAGGGTTCACGGTGAACGGTTGACTTGTGACTGTGACATTGTCCACCTCCTTGCGCTGTTGCTACTCAGTCTCAATCACACACAACATATTCACTCGACTGCTAAAGGCAACATAGGAGCGACCACAACCGTGAACTTAATAAAGCTCTCACGATCAGCACTCAAAAAGTATGTTGATCTTATTACAGTTCTCCTGGCTTCGCTCAAAACAGCAATGAATCAACTAGTGGTATCCCGTTCATTGAATTATATCACAAATAAAATTCTGGTGGTGGAGTACTGTATTGTATTTACCGTTACAAAAATACAATTCAAATTCACTAGTATATAACACATGTTAACTCGATTCTGCGTTGGGGTACCTTTTCATAGATGAAAGTTGACATTGTCAATAACTACCATACCCACAATATGTTTTCGTGTTAGTTGGGAATCTGGGCAGTTCTTGCAGTTGATCTTGTATTATCAGGATTGATTTTCATGCCCCTACAATGTTTTGTCCTTAGTCTGGTTAATGTAGACGTAACATCTTTAAGACAATCAAAGTTTGTGATCAAGTAGTTTCCTGGCGGACCTGTTAATTAGTCTGCATTTGGCTACTGCATTTGCATCAGGAAGGGTGATGTCTTTATTGGATTGGCTGTTGCCACAGGGTTCTTTGGCCAAAATAGCACCACATTCGTTGCCCTCTATATTTACAAGTTTTATTATTAAAATAAAGTAATAAAAACTATTCAATTAATTACTCCTATAATTAGATGTTTAAATTCTGGCGTGAGCAAACCTAAATTCAATTTATTTAAGCAGGAAAGATATTTTGTTTAAAATATATATTGTCTTTGTCGACTGCAGTTGTCATTACCATAACAGACACCATATGCTCGCCATTAAAAGTCAAGCGCTATAAATTATTTTATTTCAATCGTGCTTGAATAAATTTTGTTGAATGGGTAAAATTTTCAAAACTGTATATTTTAATTAAATGTTTCGAAAGCAAGTGTATTACTCAAAAAATTTTTGTCTTTGATTTTTTTGACAAAAATAATTTTATGTTAACTGCAGGAAGAACGTAGTAAGTAGAGATATTTTTTGTGTGTCATTATTACGCAATTTTTTTTTCAACAACTTGTCAAATCTCTAAACGATAATGCATCATCCAACATCATGAGTACTGCTATTCATTAGTTTCTATTTCATAATATAGCAAAACATTAGTTGTTTAATGAAGTACTGTTTTCAGTATTGCCTTGTTGTGTTCTTTGCTGATGGTCATGCGCAAAACCGAGCCCTCTCCCTAATTAAAGAATTGGAGCAAACTGACGTAAGTTTTTTTTATGCAATTTTGTATTTTCTTCATTTCTTCTCTATCCATGTTAAAGTGTTAGCAGTGGTTGAAATTAGCACGCTACTAGTAGCGAAATTATCGCTGTTCTTTTCCGCAATGTGCTACTTTTTGAAAAAGAACTAGTGTTCCAGGTATCCGCTTATCTGGAAAGTCATGAGAAATTATGGAAAGTCATGAATTTTGGTATTGAAAAAAATTTGTCATAATTTTAAGTATTTTTTTTAAAAAAATCTGCGAAAGTCATGGATTTAGTCTCCGAAAAATCTAATTTTTAAATTGGAATTTACCCCCCTCCCCAATTTCATGGTGCTCCAAATATCTGAATTTGTAGCAAAATCCCCATTCATAGTCATATTTTATTTAAATATAAAATGTCTTTATCCTGTTCTTTTAAAATTATGGTGCTCTTTAAAAAAATGAAAGTGAATTATCTTTTAAACTTCCATGATTTCAATTTTTTTTAATCTGTTTATTATTTATTATTTTTTTATTTAATCAATTTAAAATTCTAGTTTAGGCTTTTTATATTACACTGACTTTTAAGAAGAAATAAAACATGTTTAAATAACTACATATATCTGACTGTATTATTTAGTTGTTTGGTTTTGTATTTTTTTTTAGTTATTTTATTGCTTCAACTCTTTTTATTCTTGTTTTTTAAGTTTAAAATCAATAAGTATGAAGATGCAAAGTATAACTTTGGTTATACCTATCATTTCAATTAATGCTATTGTAATGTTTTTTTAAATTTATTGTTGTGTTTTTGTCGGAGAAAATTGTAACTTCTGTAAGTCATGAAAAATTCTTAGAATTATTCAAGAAAAGTCATGGATTTGAAAATCTAAAATGTAACAGATACTCTGAGTGTAGTGAGTTTTGCGATACAAAAAAATAGTTTGTAGCGATTCCTGACAACTTAACGTTACTTTAGTTAGTATACAAACTTTTAACATTACTAATGTTGCCTGCCAAGTCTCCTATTTTTTAACGAAGACTCCTGTATTTTACGACTATCCCCTATTTACCCGTACATTCTCAAATTTCTCCGTATTTGTTGAAGAAATGTTTAAAAAATAATAATTTGGGCGATAAAATATCCACTGATGGCAAAAATACTTCTCTTATTTCTTAACAGATGGTGCTACTGCCATTACTGATGTTTAGTGTTAATAGTTTAAGTAATTATATATAATGTATAAGATTTATGTACATATTTTTTACTTAGCTAAATGTTAATGCCTGTATTATTTTTAATTTTGAATTTCTCTTTTTGACTTACATGATTATGCATGATGTATCAAATTTTTACTCTTAGCCTAAAAATGCAGCTAGTAAAATCTCCATTATTTTATTTCTCCAATGTTGGCAGGTATGCGTTAGTTTAGCAAAGAAACAAGATTCAAATGCAACTAATTTTGCATATCTAATTCATACAAATCTTTGCTGGTCCATCAAAGGACGTAATGACTATGCATCATATGACTGAGCATTATTAAGAATTATGCATTATATTAATATTTAAATTATCCATAACAACTAATAACTAATTTATCACTTTGGGCACACCTTTAAATGCGACTGTACATCCATAAAACATAGACGTCATTTCAATGAAAGAGAATATATATTTTTTTGTTATTTTTGTGTATTTTGATTGTTTGTGGAAGTAATTAATTTCCTAGCCCTTCTGTAATTAAATATTTGTTGTCGAGAAAAACATAAAAAGTAGTAGATTAAAAGGACAAATTCGTAACAAATGGTTTAACAAACATAAATAATTTCTAATATTTAGTAATAATTTCTCATGTTTAAATAAGCCAATGTTTTTTTAAAATTTAAAACCATTTTAAACATAGGTATTAATTATGTTCTCCAGCATAGTTCATTTTCTTGAAACAGTGACTACATCTTGAAGTCACTACATTTGAAAAAAAAATAGTTGTAGTTAACTACAAAAATAAGTTGGGTAATTTTTATCTCTATTTTAGTGTATCTTACTTCGAACTAAAGAACTTTTACTGGAAGATGATGCTGCAGAAAGAATATTTGGCTCAAATGCGTACAACACTGTTGTCAAAAGAGGTAAGATCATAACCTTTCTCCACCTTAATACTTTAACCAAGTAAGATTCTGCAGGACTTTATTTTGATTTTTTTTCCGTATGAGATTGTTTCAAGATATTTTTTTCCTCTGAAACCATGTTTTGCAATATTGTATCTTTGTGACATTATATTCCATAATATTCTGTCCAACTGAGATTCTACACGCCAATATTCTGCCTTGCAATATATTTTCCATGTGAGATTAAGTTTCACAATATTTTTTTTATATGTAAGACTATGTTTCACAATATTTATTTTTAGCCGTGCTAAATTCTGTACCATAATGCTTTGTACAAGTAAGATTCTGCATGACTTTATTTTATTCTACCATATTTTTTACGCATGAAATTGTTTCACAATATTTTTTTTCCTGTGAGACTATGTTTCACAATATTTTATCTTTGTGAAATATTTTCACATAATACTTGTCCATATGAGATTCTGCACAACAATATTTTGGTCCCATTTTGTCTCTTAATTAAATTCTTTTCCTTGCTATTTTGCCTGTGTGGAATGCTGTCCAACACCTCCTAGAAGAAAGAAGGCCTCAGCACGCATCAATTTAGTAGTCTGACGTAACGAACATAAACTGCACAGTGGGTGAAAATAAGAAAGATGTTACTACGTTTGGACTACTAAAGGACCAAATTTCTTGTTTATGGTAACCCGTGCTGAGGCCTTCTCTTTTCTAGGAGGTGATGTGCTGTCTCAATGGGTTCTATCTGCAGAATTCTATCATACAAAGTTTGATCAGATATCCCATTACTATTTCTCCTTGTATTTTTGGCAATAATCTTTTCTGCAGAAACAAAATGTTATTAAAAATGTCAATTACAAATGAATAAAAAATACTATCCCATTGTATCATATCTGGGTGTTACATTTTGGATTGTTGTAAAAATGCTCTTCTCTGTGTTGTTCTTCCAAATGTGGAGGATAATCAAAGTTTACTGTTTAGTACATAATCAAAATTCTTCTTAATTTTTCATATCTTTTAATTCTTTTAGGTCCAGTAATTGGTCTGGAATATAATGGTAATGATTGTATGATGCTGTGCTTAGAAACCGCTAAGAATATTGCCACCTCTACTGGTTGTACTGGCCTGGTATATGTGAGCACTTGTCCCAAAGTAGCTCGAAAGCAGATTGAGAATTTTTTTAGTCATGCTGATGTCCAATTAAGCCAATGAAAAATGCACAATTTTGTACAACACAATATAACAAACACAGTACAGGGCCTTTATGTGTTTTATATATTTATGTATAACTCCACTGCATTTATAGCTCAGTATAAACATGTTAAAAGAATAATTTATATTGATAAACTCACAGTTTTAATTTAAGTTACATTTTTAATATATTCAACATTTTATAGTCTATATTTATAAAAGTTTTGATAGGATATCAGAGCACTCATTTTTAAAAGTGTTATCTTTATTGAAATCTAAACTATTGAATAACGATTGTTCGTATAGAGGTGCAAATCTATTAAAAATTTGTTGCAATAAAATTTTGAATAATTATTAAAATTATGAAAATTATATATTTATTAGCTGTTAGCAGAAACTATAGATAACTTATTCCGATCATCAAATATGTCATGATGAAAAACCATTCTTTCTTCTATATTCATCTTTTAAATAAGATCTGATGTGCTATTAGTAAACTATTGGACCATTATTAATGATTTAGATATTATTAAAATTGGTGACCAAATATGTCAGATCATGTCATTTTTAGAGCTTTGAGACAAAATTTATTTGCAGTTTTAGTTTAAATTGTCCATAACTTATAACTTTACATATAACTTCTTTTTATTTAAAAAAAATTTTACACTAAAAAGGTTAGAAATGATTTTAATGGCTTGAATATGAACTTTTAATCTTTTCTCAAACTCATTGAACAATTAGGCTAATAATCCAACATTTCACTCTCTCTCTTTCCCATGCTATTATTTCTAGCAAGTTTGATTTTAAAATTTTAATACTAAAAAACTAGTTCAAAATCCATCGGCAAATCTTTTTTTTTTTCTTAAAAAAATATTTACCAATTTTAGTTTCAGGAACTTTTTTTTCTTCTTTGGTCTGGAATAAATGTTTATGATATTTGAGGAAATTTGCTCCAGTTGTTTTCTAGTAACATTGTAAAGTTCAAGTATTTAAACTTGTTTTGTAATAATTATTTCCTAATTCCATATTTTTTATTAAAATATCGTTATATATGCAATTAGTACTTTTGAGAATGAATACTGTATCTAAGATGACTTTTTTTTTCTTTGTTTTTATTTAAGAATGTAAACTAAAAGAATATCGAAAAAGTTGGTATATTTTTCCCCTTAAAAAACAGGCCCTGTAACAAATGCAGAAAATGTTACAAATGATTTCGCTTCAGATTTTGAAAGAAAAAAAAACGTATTGCAAAGATTATTTTATTCATTTTTATGATACAGGGTTGCCACTCCACAGGGAGAATAGGAAAAACCTGGAAAATACAGGGAATTAAAAAATCACCTAAAATAAGAGGGAAAATACAGGGAATTTTGAGTTTTTCTTTACAAACAGGGAATTTGTTTCTTATTTTAGTCTTTTGAAAAATGATGACCACTCAAATGGCAATCTATGGGATATTTAAGGATATTTCAGCTATACTAAACTATTTCATTTACTGTGGCATTATTTAAATATGTTCAACTGTTCCTTTTTTTCAGCAGTTAAAAATAGTACAGTTAGCCTAATATAGCTCACACACGAGTACAGTAATTGTGTTTCCTCTTAATTTATTGTGTATACTATGTACAGGGAAAACACAGGGAATTTTTTTTTCCCTGATTTAAGTGGCAACCTTGTTAAGGTAGTTGAGGTAATAAAAATATGCATGCTTTGTGAAACTTTCATTGTAGCACAATTTTTTTATTTTTTATTTTTTTTTAAATTGCAAAGCATTTTTTAAGCTTTAATCGAGTGCTGCCATTATTTTTATTTGTTAAATAGAATAATTTTTAGCATTCATAAAATTTTCCTTTGGCCCCAAAAGTATTTACTTCATAATTATTTTTATGTTCCATAAGACAATGGGTGAGTTCTAAGAACCGGAGCCAGTTTGAATACATTTGTTCAACTCTCGTCTTTTTGAACAATTTTATTCATAGTTTTGATGTGATCTCATAATTGTAGATTCAGCAATAGTTTTTCAATTAATAATTATTTCTATAATTTGTAAAATAAACTATAACAGTACAGATTGAAAACTTATAAAAATTAACTTATAAAAATAATAATAATCTTTCAATATTTGATTTGTTATTTTCAGTAACTAGGGGACCATTCTCACTGCTTTTTTAATCTACTGTACCAATCAGATTTCCAATTTTATTATTTATTTATTTTTGTTACCCATGAATTTTTATTTCGATTAAAAAAATTAAAATAAAAAACTCAACTCGTTAACAAATAACGTTTTACATAGGAAATAAAATTGTATTTGTTAAAAATGTTTGCTCAACGCTTAACTATTGCTTATAAAATTAAGAGAATCAGTGATGATATCAATTAAACTTTGGTAGTTTTCCATTTTGCCAGTACAAGTAAATTCAGCTATTTTATTTATTTATTTTCAAATTTTTTAAAACAGAAATAATCAGTTACTTAAGTTTATTTTAGTTGTATTGCTTTTCTTTGTTTTTGGTTACTTTACTGGCAAAATTGAAAAGTACTGAAACTTTTTGTGTACAGCAACTGTTCAGAGTTCCTGACTCTGGACTTTAGAATCTAGTCTATATACTGCTCAAGAATGTAAATATTTTTACTTTTAAATGGGATTATTTTAAAAAATTTATTGTATATTATTTTGAGTTCCAAACTTCTTGTACTTTCCTACTGATGGCTCTATGTTTTTAATTTTAGTGATGCGAACCCCAGATAAAATGTATTTAGAAAAAACTGCTCTTTTCATTAAATTAACTTAAAAGCATTTTAAATATTGTTTACTTTACTGACTTGTTTGTGTCACAATATACGAGATGTGACATTTCACTGTGGCTTCTAGAGTGTGTTTGTTTCAAAGAGATTAATATTTGTTTGAGTTAATACAAACAAAGTTCTAAAAAATCAGGCAATTACAACTTTGATATCTTTAGTATTGAGGTGGGTCTTGCTTTCTTACTTATAGTGCTTAATATTTAATTTTGTACGTAAATATGTTTTTTTAATAAAACATTTTATCAGAATAGACAAGATTATATTTTTAAAATCCTCAAGTGTTCAAATTAGAAAATTTTAAAGTAGTAGTTTAATAGTTGTGTGTGGGAATTTTTTTGAAAGTTCTTTGTATTTCATATTTGGAACTCTTATCAGAACTAGAGTAGTGGGTGGCACAGAGCAATTTTTTGCCACACAAAAAAAATAAAACCAAATTTTTAAAATAAATAGCGGTCTCTCGTATTAACTGCTTTCTTTTTTCTTTTCATGTGCTATGATATGTTTTTTTATGCAAATTTAAAACTTTAAGTAAATTAGGATTTGAAGAATTTTGAAAACAAATTAAAGAAATAAAAGATTGAAATCACAAGCCTCGTGTGAGAGTTATGCCATCTTTGCTCAGTGGTTTGAATCAAAAAGAAGTTGACCAAAAGTGTAAGCGCTTTGATAAACTGCTATTTTTTAAGAGAATTAATGGTCGCTGATTATAAATATTAAGTCAGTTCAGTGTTAGGAAAAACTACATATTTTGTAATTAACTACTTTTTTAAAAAAAAATATAGTGACTACAAACTAATTTTAAAATGGTAAACTTTGCTGAAGAACTTGATTTACACCCACGTTCAAATGTGTTTTGAATAAAAAAATTGACAAAAGCAATCATTGAGAAATATTTATTCACGTTTATATGAGCCAGTTTGTTATTCTGAATAATTTTTTGATTTTGTTCATTGAACCTTCAACTTTTTATGTCTTTCACGGCAGCGAATATTTAATTTACAAAATGCTATGAAATATATTCCATTTTGTTAAGTATTCAATGCTTTTTTATTTCCTCCAAGAAATAAAATGCATAGAAAATATGTTCTCTTCCATTAAAGTAACATCAATGCTTATTGACTACACATTTGCACTTGAAGGTGTGCCCAACGTGATAAATTAGCTATTATTAATAATGGCTAGTTTGAATAATAGTAATATTTAATTCTAAATATGTAATTCTTTTTAACGATCGGCCACACGGTGCATGCTCATTGCATCCATTGATAGACCCATGAAGATTTGTAGCAATGAAATTTGTAAAAATATTGTTGTATTTGAACCTTGTTTCATTACTAAACTAATGTTAGAAGTAGTCATTTTTATTTCATAACCGTCGTTGAACAACCGACTCAATTTTTGGGTTTACGACTACTAATGTTCAACTCCGTAACCTTGTAATTTTGAAATTTGCCTTTGTGGAGGACTTTTTGATGAAACCAATCCGCATTTGCGTTACATGGAGGGAAAGACCCCTCTCCTAGCTTGATGGCAAAGGGACTCTAACCCATGATCTGTCTACTGCTGTGAGAGTATTTCACGCCAGCACTTTTGTCGGTGCAAGTCTGATGCGGATTCGTATCAATCAGCCATCTTCACTCTGTCCCCTGAGCCATCGTAACTCATGGTAAAAGTAGTTGAAAGGAAATACTACAAACTACTGTCTTTTTTTCCATCATGCTATTCACTACGGTACTTTAAAAAAAAGTACCAGATGCAGAACAAACTGGAAAGAAAAGTAGCTACAATAGTTTTGCTACTTCTGAGTCAAATTTGAAAATTTCATTGAAGTTAATATAACATGTCAGTGAAAGAAAGATTATATTGTATTGATTTGTTTTCAGGATTCTTGATTGCTAATATAATGTCAGTTCATTAAAAGTTTAAATTGGAGTACATAAATTTTAACCCACGTTAATTTGAGATAGGAAAGGTGATAGAAACTGTCAAAACATAAGAGATTGGAAATTAAATATTAGTTTTAGGAAAACTTTTACATTATTTATTTTGAAAATGAAAATATTCTTTTCATTATTATTTTCTTTTAAATTTTATATTTACATTCTTGAAGTAGTACTAATTATTGTTCGTAAAATTCAAGTACTCTTTTTTTCCAAAAACTGTTGAGAAGAATCTGTAGTTGTATGAATTTGTTGAAAACTTTGAAGTCAATTGTTGTGATTTTTTATGTGTGCGTTATTAACATTCCATTACTCCCTTGCATTTTGATGAGAGTTGTAAAAATGAAATTTTTAAAGAAGTTTGTAAATCTATAAGGAATTTTGACACAAGTATTGTAAATGCTTAAAACATTTAGTGCTATGTTAATAATTTGTAAAAATAATAATAATAATTTGATTAATTTATGTAAATTATCTAATAATATATGATCTATATAAATTGTATATTAATGTATGATCTATATTAATTTTTGTGATCTAAATTGAGTTTGTAAAAATCCACAATTCCTTATTTACTTTTCTGATTTTTTTATTTTTTAACTGCAACTTCATTTTATTTATTATGTCTTTCTTGAAAGTTGAATTTAGCCTTATAGAACAAGTGTTTTTTATGCTTTTTCCTTAATGAATTAGTACTATTTCTCCATTAATTTGACTTAATATAAACATAACTTATTATTTTTATTTTAGTTACAGTTGATTTCAAATTACTTAGTTTTATAGAAGCATGTTTTAAAAGCGTAACTGTAAGCAAAATAAATGCATTGTTTGAGATGATTTCGAAAATACTAATTTAGTGAGGTAATCCGCCTATTCTATAACGTTTATCATTGAGTTAATTTGTCACAACGAATGAAAAATAATTTAATATTAATGAACGTGCGATAAATTCCCCTTTTTTATGTGAGCTTTAAGCTAGTAATACCACTGATGTTACCTTCAAAATATTTGATAATTTTCAATTTTATTCTTATCAATGGTGAGTTCGAAATCAATCAGAAAATTAAATTTCGTCTTTTGTCATCCTGTTCGAGTGGTTTGTAGTAGAATGTTCTAGTGTCCCCTTCCCTGTGCTTTGAACTATCGGTATACCGAATTTCATCATTCTTGTTCTGATGATTTAAGAGTCAATAAAGGACAGGCAAATATTAATTTATATATATATACAGTAGAGAACCGATTATCCGGAACGATCGGTACTATCACTATTCCGGATAACTGATTTTTCCGGTTTTCTGAATCGCTACAAAAAACCGTTTTTTTTAGTGTTAAACCCAACTAAAAAAAAAAAAATATTTGGAAATAATCTTAAAAATAAGAAAAAACGATGAGGTATTACACTAATGATTATTTCTGAAATGATGGTAAGCTAAGCATCTTTCAAAAAAGAAAGAAAAATCCCAAAATCTTATGAGGAAAAAAAAGTTTTTTTAAAAAAA